GATCAAACAAAGCCAGAAGGACAGAGATAATGAAAATGCATTACAATCTAATCTTAAAGGGGACATATTATGCAAAACCAAGTTTTTAATCATGTGATTGTGTACATTTGGGACTGTGGAGGGCCTATCAGCAGGAAAAGTGTGAAAAAAAATGACTGGGTGATGTTTTTGTGGGCCGCCTCAGTCTGAATCCAGGAGATAAATCAGGAGGTTTCAGGAGTGGGTAGTTTCTGACCTCATTAGCTCTAGCTCATTATAATATTATATAATATCATATTATATATTATATAATATATTATAATCTAGCTCATATATAATATAATATTGGTAGCGTTAGCGTGGTAGCGTTAGCGTGGTAGCGTTAGCGTGGTAGCGTTAGCGTGGTAGCGTTAGCATGGTAGCGTTAGCGTGGTAGCGTTAGCGTGGTAGCGTTAGCGTGCCGACGTGGGCACACCTCCCTGAAGAAGTGGGCGGATTGCCTGTGTCTCATTTGCATTTAAAGAGACAGGCACTCCAAAGCGAGCGTTCTGAACGGGGCTGTTTTGGGTTAGGGTTAGGGTTAGGGTTAGGGTTAGGGTTAGGCAGGGGGACTGAACTGCTATTGGGCTTCATCCTTATGGGATTCTGACCAAAGCTTGTCACAGACATTACATTAGGACACCAGGGAACTAGCTTAACTTGTAGAAATAGGGTATGACATGTCTCCTTTAAAGCACACGGTTAATCTTTTACCCCCTTCAGTCCAAAGTTTAGCGTTTAGTTGAGTTATTCCCAACTCAAACTGAACCCAGATCTCTGTTGTCCAAACTGGCCCAACCTGCTCGGGAACTCTTGCTGAACTCATCAAATTTGTTATCACTCCTCCAGGTGTGTGGAGTAAGATTTCAGTATTTTTTTAACCACACAATGGCGGTCAGATGAGCCCGCCTCGGGCCGGGTAACTGTCCGATCCATCTGGTGAACAAAGCAAAACTCCTCTATCTAAGCCAGTGTTTTTCAACCTTTTTTGAGCCAGGGTACATTTTTTCATTGAAAAAATCACGAGGCACACCAACCAAAAATGTCAAACAAATCTGTATCCGCCTATAGTAACACTATAGTTATTTTTATCTTATTCTTATCTTATCTGAAGTGTCCTGAATAGGAATCAAATAAACACAAAAATGTATTTTTTATCGTATTTTATATTTCTTCTTTCAAATTGCACTTAACATGTCCACTTCAATATACAAAATTATATATAAAATCTAGTCATAAGGAATTATTACATGATTACTCCACCAGTCACTAGAACAGCACACACACTCAAATATGGAATATTATTTGCAGATAATTAATTCGTTATCAAAAAATCTTTTTAGACCAATTAGGTGAAATAGGATGATTTTCTACAGCACACCTGACCACACTAGTGGTTGAAAAACACTGATCTAAGCAGTCAGATTTCAAAGTGTTTGAGATGGGTTTCTTTTTCTGTGATGCTCTAATGAAGTCCTAAATTCATTCACTAATCAGTTAAAAGTAAAAATGTATTTTCTTAACTCATTGACTGGCAGCCATTTTCAGAACAGAGTCCCATACT